AAAGCGTCTGCTAAATGTAAAATGTAAATGTAAATGTGTGGTCGGCCTGATGAAGCAGCTGCAGCACTGCACAGTTCAAAAACCAGGCAGATTAATTCCTATTATTAAAAATATTCATTATTGTCAGCCACTTTAAACATTAACAATAGTTTAACATTAACACTGTACTTAAATGTTAAAAAACAAACAAATAAATAAACACAAAAGACCAACGTTTAAATTAAAATGTGCTTTTAAAGTTAAAAATGAAAGGTTGCTGTTCTTAAAAAGTAAAAATAAAAACTTCTGTACTTAAATGTAAAGTATTAACATCGAGTAGCCAATTCATCAACACCTGCAAATGATGCCTGGACCTTAGAAATAGGCTATATGTTATCATATTTATATATAAATGTCCACATACCACTAGAAGGAAGCCCGCGTACCACTAGTGGTACATGTACTACAGTTTGAGAACCACTGCTCTAGTTAACACACTGTATCATTGACGGTTATAGTGCGTGGAAAGCTTTTATACAATCGTTTAGCAGTGAACCTACAATAGTTTAACCCTGGGTTAAGTCGTCTATATTTTTCACTGTTCATCCTGACAGTTTAACCCTGGTTTAATATTCTGGTTTTGAGATTTAAGCAGTGGGATACATCATAACGTTCAAGCACAGAAATGGCAGCATCTATTAGTGTGACTCTGTGTTAAGAGTCTATCAGTCACCTCTCGGAGAACAAACACAATATTTGACGCCACAGTCTTGCATGTTTTGGTTTAATAATGGCGTGATTGCTTTATGGCCCACGGCTGTGACGTAAACCACGCTGGCTTATCTTCATGTTAATAAATTTAGAGTCAGTGCGTTTCGATGTGTGCACCGCACAGTCTTCCTGTTTCAGTATGAAAGTGTCAAAACAGGAACAAAAACCACTCGCTGTCTTCAACCATTTCCTTCAGCGCAGCTTCAAACTTACTTTGACTGTAGAGAAATATATTTACTCAGACAAGAGTCTTTTTAAGTCTGATTTTAAACGGTAAAGCTAAAAACGGCAGCACTAAATCAGCGCTAACCTTTTAAACACACAAGTGTGAATCACTATTTAACCCAGCGGCCCTGTTTCTTCTGAAAAACAACCCAGAGTTGGTTTGAATGACGAGATGATTGTGCATGTTTTTGTTCAATAACGCTATAATCAAATTGTTATTGTTTTAAAAGCGTTTCAAGAGAGTTTAGGCAGAAAAATAGACAACATTTGTAACTTTATTAAAGCAGGGTTTAACGCTAGGGATTTTTTTCTACTCGTCTGATCGGGCAAGCGGTTCACATTTTTACTTGCCCTGCCAAAATTTTCACTTGCCCCACCAAAAAAAAAAAAAAAAAAAAAAGGGAAGTTAACAGCTATTTTTTAGCCACATGTTTTAAATAATGTGTCAAAAAAAAGTCTGTGAATCTAGAATTTCAATACTTAAAAAATTGTAAATAAAAGTGTTATGCAAACAATAAGAGCTGGGGTTCGTTCTTCGTACGTGGATTACTCAGTTAGCTGGATTTGGATATTGACGATTTGATCCGAGAGTTGTTGTCATAGCAACAGTTCTGCTAGGTCAAACCTGATCGGGAGCAGGTTCAATTCATATAAACAGGATTAGATCGGCTCAATTCAAGCAAAGATATACAGAAAGTGTTCTGAATTCTGATATTTTCTTACAGTAGTAGTTATATACACTTGGGAAAAGAGTAAATATTTTTTAAACTATATATATATATATATATATATAAAGTTATAGTTATTAATAAAATAAATAAAGTTATACATATTAATAAAACGTATGCAATCTGCACTCTCGAAATGAAAGTACAAAGACTGCCACCTGGTGGTGCACAGAGAAAGCTTATTGATATGAACTTTTTAGATCACTTTAGTACAAATTGTGTATAATAGAAATGCACAATATGTGACTTTTTTAAAGCAGTAATACATTTATGCAGTCATGAACATGTTTTGATAGTTAATATGCCGGTGATTTGATGCTTCACAATAGTTGCAGACGCCTTTACCAATATCAAAATGCTTTTGTAAACATCCAGTTATTCTTTACACCGATTAAAAAAACGGCTACTATAATAAAGAAAATATTTTCTAAATGTAGAACTAAATACATTGTTTTGCATTGAAATACATGATGAATACTCTTGACACATGAAAGTGTAAAGCCTGCAGCTCACAACAAATGTGGAAGGTTATTGCGTGTCATATTTAACAAACCGTTTACTGCTAATTTGATGTAATTTTGCTCACATGGATAATTGAATATTAATCAGATGATGTCATTACGCTGCTGTGCCGTCAGCCAATCGCTGCATTGCTGATCATGATTTCGAGGATCGATAGATCTGTCCTTCACAACACACGCAGCGATCTCAGATCAGTTTATTCAGACATTATAATCTGATTCGCGAACTTGTTTGAAGAACCAAATTAGCGAGAGATCAGTTATCGAGATTAAAAGATCCAGGATCTGCCAAATCATCTTAGATCATTTAAGCGAGGTACGAAGAACGGACCCCAGTTTGGAAAATGTGCAGGTGTGAAATTATTTAACAAAAGATGGCTGACTTGTCAAACAGACGGCAAACTTTGCAAAACATTACTTAATTTTTATTTTGTCTTGTTGTTTCCACGTAAGTGTCTGCTTCCAAGACATTAGAAACAGACATTTTCCTTTTAGCCTTATAATTCGATGCTGCCGCCATGTTGCCGTTTCGTCGCCGTACTGGTTGCTACCAGGTTACGGAAAAAAATAGCATGCTCAATTAGATGAGAGGAACTGGAAAACAATATGGTGTTTACGACATCACAAAGAAGGTAAAGGTAAAGACTTAAAATCACAAACTTAAAATACACGCAAATAGTCACAGATAAATGAAATGCTAGTGACAAGGCAGCAGTGTCCCGATCGGGTCAGTAATGATCCTGTCTACTGTCCCAAGCGTCTCACACGCTAGCCCTGGGCCACCGGGCAGTTCTTATTGTTGAGCCCTGTAAAGATTAATTAGATTGAATTATTCATGTAATAAATAGTATAGTTTTATCTTACGTTACATTTTATCATTCAGTTTCTGTACCCGAATACTTCTTGACTTTGGGGAAACCATAAAGTAAAAACAAAAAAGAAAACATCGGGTGTTTTCCTTTCCACAAGTGCAGTCACATTGGGTGTTGTTCAGGGGTGCGTTTCCAAAAACCATCGTTAGCCAACTAAATTCGCAAGTTCCATCGTTACAAACATAGTTCATTGATTTGATGTTTCCCAAACTTCTATGCTTGCAACTATACCTCTGGAGCTGTAGTACAGATACTATCTGTATTTTGTAATGTCTGGAGCCAGCACCTAAGCTTTTCACTCATCACAGCACACATGCTGCTGATGATGTGACAATAAAAGTGATTTGATTTGATTTAGTTAGAAACAGTTCCTGGCTGTGTTCTATTCCCACTTATCCCCCATGCCCTATTCATTTAGAACCTTCTAAAATTCAAACTTGGAATGATTAAAAATAAAGGAGCATTAAAGTCATCACTCATATGTGTAATTTGCTTTCAAAGTAATTTTACAGTTCAGTTTTAGTAATTTTCATGTTTAGAGTTACGTTCCCTTTGTAGTGCACTTTGAAAACATTGATGTCATTTTGAACACAGCCAAACGAAATCTCCACACTAGTGTATTTGTTTACGGTCATTGCTCCAAAATTTGAAAACAAAAAACATAGCATACAGTAATGCTTTTATTTTATAGTAGGTTATTTATTAAGAAACGTAGCCTGCTGTATATGACATGGGTCTGCTGGTTAGAACATTTCTGCTGTGGATTACATGTGTCAAATTGTAAAAGTAGACTTAAAAAAATTAAATAAACAATATAAAATTTATTCATATTAATAATAATAATCATCATCATCATCATAATTATTATTATTAAAGTAGGATTTAAAAAAAATTTCCTAATAAATTATAAATTTTTATTATAATTTCTTAAAAAATCACCTCATTATTTATTTATTTATTTATTTATTTATATTTATAAGTGATTTTATGTTTTAGAATCGAATTTGTAATGTTCTCAATAATATTTGTAAAGGAAATACAGGCTCTATATGTGCCATTTACATATACTTCAATTAATATGAAAAACATGAGTGCAAGTTTTTACCAAAACTAATATTGGATATTTTTTATGCGTGTAAAACAATATAATTTGCACAAAGAAATTATGGGCTCTAAAAAAGTTGTTACCACCCCATTTAGAGCATCATTATGGACGTTTTGTGTTGTGCGACAGAGAAACTATAGGTTTTGGGAAACACTCGTCACTACATCTCTCTTTTCCCAAACGATGCATCGTGCTATGATAGTTCAACCGTGTGTTACATTATTTGTTTGGGAAACGCACCCCAGGTTGTTTGTTTTGCAGCTTTTTTCTTTATTCATGCTTGCTTTATATATTTTATCAAAGTCTTTTTGGGAATCTGTGAAATGTTTGCTTAAGTAAAAACTCTTAGGGCTCTATTTTAACAATCTAGGCACAAAGTCTGAAGCACAGGGTGCAAAAGACATAATTAATTTTGTTTGTTAAGTGCAAAGATTTTTTTCAAAACTGTTTCTAAATTCAGTTCTAATCTCCAGCAAACTAATAAAGGAACAATAATAGCGAAGTGTGGTCAAAATACTGAGTAGGTCCAAAACCTGACAGGTGGACAAATCTAAGCTTGTTTTTAATAAAACAAATATAAATATGGATATAATAAATAATTCTGCTAATAATAATAACTTTACAAAAGCAAATTGTCATCATTAAACTGAAAAAGCCCCTTTTACTTGCTCAATAAGTATAAACTCAGTCAGATGGCAGGAAGCTTGTAGTTGATTGAACAACGTGTTTTTCTGTAATCACACTGATCATGCTGAAGCTGTATAGTGTAATAGAGTCACGTTTCTGTCTCTTTCCACAGTCAAAGAGTTTCTGGCCTTCGCCAAAGAAGATTTCCTCAGGAAATGGGAGAATCCTGCACAGGTAAGAGGACAGACCACCAAAATATACAGCACATTTGACGACAGGAGGATTTAAGAACTAATTTTCTCATTTTATTGAAAGTGTCATCTTTTAAATGCAGTTATTACTCGTCCCTCTGTGTGCCTATATGTGGTTCTGATTGGTTAATCATGACATTCAAAGATAATTGTTCTTCCCAGTTAATAACTGTAAAACTAATTTGCTTATCCAGGTACTGCAAATCATCTTGACTATTTTTCAGTGGGAGCGAACAGCTGGATGTACATTATGCCTTATTTATCATATAATCTGATATGTTTTGGTTGATCAGCCTAATGAGATATTATTAATGTGGCAAACGTCATATTAAAAATGCCAAGTCTACAAATTTTCATACACTGTAAAAAAAAAACTAATTTTACAGAAAATATCTCTAAATTTTTACTGTATTTTTTTGTCATTTCACATTATATTCAAAACTTAGTAAAATGACAAACAGTCTCTCTAAATTAACTGTTTGACTTTCATGTTCGGTACTTTATCATTAAAGACAAATTACTGACATTTTAATTTTTTATACAGGGAAATTACAGTATTATTTATACAGTATTTTTTTCTGTTATTTTAAATTAAATTCAAAAGTCTGTAAAAATTACAAACAATATCTGTAAATTAACAGCTTGACTGTTATTTTATGTACCCTATAATTAATGAAGAATTACAGCAATTTGTCTGTTTTACACATTAAAATTGCCGTATTATTTACACACTGTTTTTTCCTGTTTTTTTAAAGTACCTTCAAAATTACGTAAAATTTAAGTAATAAATTGTAATTATTTGCTCTGTAAAAAAAAAAGATCGTAAAAAAAAAAAGGTCTAATGACGGCATTTGATTGATCTAGGAAAAGTCTGTAAAATAACAGTGTTTTTCTGTAAATGTTTTAATGAAAATATCTGTAGATTTATTATTTTTTGCACTTTATTTCAACAAAGAAATTTGACCATATATTTATGGTTTTTATTTGGCAGCCATTGCTGCCAGTCATTAGACCTTTTTTTTACGTTTTTTTTTACAGTGTATGTAAAAACTGCTCTGAGGTAAGGTAGAAACAAGAAACTATGACACTGTCTCACAGTAATCATCGTCCCAAATTTTAAAAGGTTGAATCGGATGAGGTTTGCCTTAACAAGTTGCTATTATATTTTCACATGTTTGTCTGTGCACATACTTGGCCAGCTGTTCATGTTTGTTGTGTCCAGGGCTGTGTCTGAAACCGCCTACTACTCAGTAGGTGCTACATTTATATTTAAACGTACTACTCGGCTGTTCTATACAGTATGAATGTGACAAGTATGAATGGAATTCGGACGTACTACATCCACCATTTTGTCATGGTCACGTGACCTACCTGCGTCAGTTCCGTCGCTTTAGTCCCATTCATGAATTCGCTCGGGGGGCATTATGGGATAGCGCAGCATGCATGGGATGCACACTCCAGAATCTCGCCGGAAGTAGTAAGTCATCCGGGTAATTCTCGCATACTGATTTTCGAATTCTATGAATTCAGACATACTACTCGGCTTGCATACTGATTTTAGCGTACTATATAGTATGGAAGTATGCGGTTTCGAATGCAGCCCATGCTTTTTTGCTCAGGTGATTGTTGATGTTTTAACGTCTGTGATGCAGATGTGGCGTTTATGTGCAAGGGTGCCCTCTAGTGTCCAGGATCAATGAAACTGATAATACATTACGTTTGATTTGTAAAAAATAAAATAATAGGAAAAACTATGACTTTCTGTATAGATACAGGACTTTTTTTCATATCTCAATTAATATATATGATTTAGCATCACTGATATGGTTATTGAAATAAATACAAAACATATTGTGATATACTGTATATTTTTAAGTTCAAATCCCCCATTGCTAGCAGACCATGACTAGCGGCGAACCATGAAATTTTAAAATCTTGAATCTGCTCAGAATCTTCTTAACAAGTTGTCATATTTTCAAATCATTGTCTAATCGTAAACTACATCAACAAGATTAAAGTAACACATCTGTATAATTCCCGCCTCCACTCCACATACAAACACTCTTGACATCAGTAAATCGTTTCGCAGACGGAATAGACCAATTGAAACAGACTTAGCCGGCTGTTCATGTTTGATCAGTATAAGCGCTTGTAAGCGTTATTGCTCAGGTGATGTTTTAACTTCTGTGATGCAGATGTGGAATTTATGAGCAAGGGTGCCCTCTAGTGTCCAGGATGAATGAAATTAATATTACAGGTCACACTTTACAATAAGGTTCATTAGTTAATGTTAATTAATGCATTTACTAACATGAACAAACAATGAACAATACATACACTACTGTCATTGTTCTTGTTAGTTAGCGTTAGTTAATGAAAATACAGTAGTTCATTGTTAGTTCATGTTAACTCATGGTGCATTAACTAATGTTAACAAGCATGGACTTGAATGTTAATAATGCATTAGTAAACGTTCAATTATGATTAATAAATGCTGTACATGTGTTGTTCATGATTAGTTCATGTTAGTAAATGCATTAACTAATGAACCTTATTGTAAAGTGTTACCATATTATGTGTACCAATTAAAACAGACTTGACCAGCTGGTTTATGGAAGGGAGGGGCTTTTAGACCTTAAGCCCTGAATTGAAAAGAGCCACATCAAAATTATTAAATGCAAATTGTGGGAAAATTACCTTGTTTTATGATCTTAGATACATTTAAACAAACAAAACTCTGACACAATATTATTAGAAAAAAAAACGCACTTGAATAATGTGAGAATGCAATATTTTGTGCGTCACACAGAACACCGCCTGCCTGGAGGACTTCGACCGGTTGAAAACTCTGGGCACTGGTTCATTCGGCCGCGTGATGCTGGTCAGACACCGAGAGACAGGACAGCACTACGCCATGAAGATCCTCAACAAACAGAAGGTGGGCGGAGCTAAACATCAGATTTTACTACACTCAGTGATGCTTTGCAGGACATTTGGGAGTGATTTCCATCACTGGGAGCGTTTCTGTGAGCAGATGTGGTTTTATATGACAGGGTGAGGAAGAAATATTAATCTTTTATAGCATTTTATAAAGTGATAAAGGCTAGTTAGCTTTGCTTTATAAATATACTTTATACTGGTTGGTATTGCATTATTAAAATGCACAGAAGGGTTTGAAGAACACGAATAAATCAATTGTTTATTATCTGTATAAGCGTTTTTATCTTTATTTTTTGCTCAGGTGATTGGGGATTGCTCAGGTTGATGCTGTAACTTCTGTGATGCAGACATGAAATATATGGGCAAGGGCATCCTCTAGTGTCCAGGATGAATGAAACTAATATTACATTACGCGTGTGCGCTCAACACTACTTGTGTTTCGTAAATATAAAATAAAAAATAGGAAAAATATTACTTTTCTGACTAGATATTGGAGTGTTTTTAGTCTCTTAGTGGATATATCATCATTGATACGGTTATTGCAATAAATACAACGCAGGCTCATTCTGGAAACGTAGCCGTGGATGTTTCTGGGGACCGCAAAATACATCCCGGGAGGTACATATGCAGTTTTGTTTTAGCGAATTCGCGAGAGGCCGCTGTGCGCACTTTTTCGCATCTCAAACGCCTCTTGCGGTCGCTGTTTGCGCCCGCGCTGTTCTCGCTGTCGAGCGACCCAGCCACCCTCCTCCTCCTTTCCTTAACCCAAGCAATGATTTACAAAAGCCGTCCAGAAAAAAGAAAAGCCCTCGTCTGATTTTGACCGTGTTTTCGGATTTCACCGTATTCTCGCCTCGTTATGCACTCGTTCGCTTTATTTTTTGGATTCTGTTTTTTTGTCTTACCTGATTTCTGGAACCGATCTTCCCCGGACTAGAACCCGGTCAACGTTGCCGTCAGCTCCCCTCCGGGCCTCCGCTCCGCCGACATAACACGACGAGCTAACCGGACAAACTGGTTGCGGCGGAACAGCCCTCCACACGGAGGTGAGCTGTCAGCAAGTAATAATCAACACCTATATCAATATATATCCTATCAATGACTATAATACTGCTGTAGATGAGTTCTTGGAGTTATTCTGAACTTAAAACTATATCACAACATTCTCTGGTATTTATTCAACCAAAGCTCAAGAGCGTGAAGAGGAGCGGCGTCACACTGCCTCGTAGTGTTCGCTTGAAAAAAACGAAATGCGGCCATACGTACAGGCCCGTGCAGAGGCTGTCCAAAGGGCATGTGCAGGTAGGGGGTTTGTTGTTGTTGTTGTTGTTGTTGTTGTTGTTGTTGTTGTCGTCGTCGTCATCATCGTTGTTGCGCACGTACCGATGAGCGGTGTTGTCGCGCGCGTACCGATGAGCGGTGTTGTCGCGCGCGTACCGGAGAGCGGTGTTGTCGCGCGCGTACCGGAGAGCGGTGTTGTCGCGCGCGTACCGGAGAGCGGTGTTGTCGCGCGCGTACCGGAGAGCGGTGTTGTCGCGCGCGTACCGATGAGCGGTGTTGTCGCGCGCGTACCGGAGAGCGGTGTTGTCGCGCGCGTACCGGAGAGCGGTGTTGTCGCGCGCGTACCGGAGAGCGGTGTTGTCGCGCGCGTACCGGAGAGCGGTGTTGTCGCGCGCGTACCGATGAGCGGTGTTGTCGCGCGCGTACCGATGAGCGGTGTTGTCGCGCGCGTACCGATGAGCGGTGTTGTCGCGCGCGTACCGATGAGCGGTGTTGTCGCGCGCGTACCGATGAGCGGTGTTGTCGCGCGCGTACCGGAGAGCGGTGTTGTCGCGCGCGTACCGGAGAGCGGTGTTGTCGCGCGCGTACCGGAGAGCGGTGTTGTCGCGCGCGTACCGGAGAGCGGTGTTGTCGCGCGCGTACCGATGAGCGGTGTTGTCGCGCGCGTACCGATGAGGGGTGTTGTCGCGCGCGTACCGGAGAGCGGTGTTGTCGCGCGCGTACCGGAGAGCGGTGTTGTCGCGCGCGTACCGGAGAGCGGTGTTGTTGCGCGCATACTGATCAGCGCTGTTGTTGTTCGCGTACTGTAAAGCGGAGGGGGGGGTGAGGAGCGCATGTACTCGTGAGCGGTGTTGTCGCGCGCCTACTGAAGGGCGGTAGGGGGGAAAGGTGTGTCGCGGGGGCACTTTTGATCATTTTGGAAGGGCACTTTCTATCCAAGACTAAAAAGGGCATGTGCACTGCACAGGTTGAGCCCTATGTGTGCACGTGCCTGCATACGTACCTCCGGCCACGTAAGTCGCGGTCTCCAGAAACGTCCACAGAGCTACGTTTTCAGAATGAGCTTGGGTTGAATAAATACCAGAGAATGTTGTGATATAGTTTTAAGTTCAGATTGCTAGCAGACCATGAGTAACTCATCCACAGCAGTATTAAAGACATTGATATGATATATATTGATATAGGTGTTGATTATTACTGTGTTTGTTCATATCAAAATCAAACACAAAGCCAAATGTACTTCTCACTCCGTTTTCAACATGTTTATGCAGTATTTACACCACATCTTTATTATTTAAAATGATTGATTTCAATTATTTTGAATGGAAATCCCCAGGAAGTGCCATCCATCATTTGAAATCCAGTGGGAAACCCTGTGTATATGAATACGTGACTCTGTTTTTGTGTTCAGGTGGTGAAGCTGAAGCAGATTGAACACACTCTGAATGAGAAGCGGATACTGCAGGCCGTCAGCTTCCCCTTCTTAGTGCGACTGGAGTACTCCTTCAAGGTGAGCTCAGCTCAAGAACACCTACAGTCAGGTGAAGCACAGTGTGTCAGTGATATAAGTGTGTGTGTGTGTGTGTGTCTGTTGCAGGACAACACCAATCTCTACATGGTGATGCAGTACGTTCAGGGAGGAGAGATGTTTTCACACCTGCGCAGAATCGGCAGATTCAGGTGAATATATTTACATTCTGGATGTGCTGAAGTAAAATGAAGATTAATAATCCTCAAGCACTCCATACTTCTGACTTTGAGTTAACTATACTGATTTTATTAGCTTGAAATTATTATTATTGGCGGTTCATTCCGCTGTGGCGACCCCGGATTAATAAAGGGACTAAGCCGAAAAGAAAATGAATGAATGAATGAATGAATGAATGATTATTATTATTATTATTATGGGCAACACGGTGGCTCCGTGGTTAGCACTGTCACAGCAAGAAGGTCTGCATTTCTGTGTGGAGTTTGCATGTTCTCCCCGTGTTGGCGTGGGTTTCCTCTGGGTGAATTGTATAAAATAATTTGGCCGTAGTGTATGAGTGTGAATGTGAGTGTGTATGGGTGTTTCCCAGTACTGGGTTGTGGCTGAAAGGGCCGCTGTGTAAAACATATGCTGGATTAGTTGGCGGTTCATTACTAAGCTGAAGGAAAATGAATGAATGAATTGTTCATTTTAGTAAATCCATTAACTAATAGAATCTTACTGTAAAGTGTTCCCTGCATCTCTACCATGACAGCTACTATAGACCTTTTTCTTGGAACGCAAAATTACCCATTATGCTTTACGTGTATGCGCAAGGAGAATGCGAAGAACTTCCGGTCGGCAGCTGATGCGTGTAAACAGTCACATTTGGACAGCTTTGAAACGATAGTTTTAATCTATTTTATCTGCTTTTATCCTCTTTGAACTAATACTGTTGTCCATCAGCAGCATCTCCTGGACTGATCATTTAAAGAAATGTGATCTAATAGGATGGAAAACAGCTGCTGTGAGGCGTTTTCCCCTCAGTGTCAGACGGCATCTTCTGCAGTTTAAATGAAGCCTTGTCATCGCTAAAGTCAATAGTTTCTCTTTATTTCAAATATTTTACCAGCCCAAACTAATGTAATTCACCTGTGCCACTGACACACTGATTTAATAACTGTGACAAAGTGAAAATATAGGCTAGTGTCATTTCGAAATGACAGAAAAACACAAACCGTGGTAAAAACAACACGAAATAAAACACAAACGGCTCGCGATTAGAATGAACAGCAAATCAGCAGCAGAGGATCAATAACAGATTTTTATTGCTCATTTTTGTAAATTGCACGACTTTCATACCTGTTTCATGCCAGTACTCTGGTTTGCTCTCTCTCTCTGTCTCTCTGTCTCTCTGTCTCTCTCTCTCTCTCTCTCTCTCTCTCTCTCTCTCTCTCTCTCTCTCTCTCTCTCTCTCTCTCTCTCTCTCTGTGTGTGTCTGTGTGTGTGTGTGTGTTAAAGAGCCGTTGAGCTAACAGTTGACAGGCTGGGAACACACACACACACACTGTATTTCTGACGGCAGACACGTGAACTAGGAGAACGTTTTTCTCGTATTTCTGATGCACTTGAACCACATGTGACAGATTATAACGGCTTTAACAGACACATTTCTAAGTTGTGTGTCACAAAAACACTCTGTTATCCATTAAAAACGTTATTGAAACCCATTTTCGGAGCGCAAATTACCAGTTGTACACGCTGTAAACGGAAGTTTTTAGCATTCTACCGGAAGGCGCTGGTCGCTATGGCGCCCTAAATGCAGCAGCCATGAAAAAGGTCTATAGCTAAGTTTCTGCTGTACGTAACTGCATCTGTTCTGTGTTTTTGCTCTTTCTCTCTTGCAGTGAACCTCACGCGCGCTTCTATGC